AATGGCTGAAGCTCAGGACTGGCAACTGGAAGTTTGCAAAGTGCACGCTAATAAATGACTACTTAATACACACAGTTTTTAAGACAGACATACATTAAAGGCTGGAATGCACTACACAGCTTTTGTCCAGTTTTTTTCCCCACAGATTTCCACCCCAAAAGTCTGAGTCAGTCTGCAGATTTTGGGAACGCGGAGTTGACAGATTTCACGGAGTGTATGATTAAAGTAGGCGAGCCCAATACTGTTCCTGGATATCTACCTACCAGCAGAGTTCAGTTCCAACCCAGATCAAACACACCTGTCTGTAATTTTTAAGTGCTCCTGAATATCTTAATTAGCTGGCTAAATTGTGTTTGATCAGGGTTGGAGCTGAACTTTGTAGGAAGGTACTGTAGATCTTCAGGAACAGGATTGGGCACCACTGGATTAAAGGAATAGTTCACGCAAGAAGAAAATTAGCTAAAATGTTCTCGCCCTCAGGCCATCCAAGATGTAGAGTTTGTTTCTTCATCAGAACAGATTTGGAGAAATGTAGCTTTACATCACTTGCTCACCAGTGGATCCTCTGCAGTGAATGGGTGCCGTCAGAATGAGAGTCCAAGCAGCTGATAAAAACATCACAATAGAGAAACGCTGCATGTTTGTAAGAAACAAATCCATCATTAAGAGGTTTTAAGTTGAGTTGCTTCTGGCCAAAATATGAGTCCATGATAATCTATAATAATGCTTCCTCCAGTGAAAAAGTCCATCCCCTGTTGTCCTCTCAAACCAAAATCCACCGACATATTTGCTTAGAACTATTTTGGACTGTTTTAACGTTATTAACGGTGCTTGATCTGTGCATATTTCTCTCCCGATTCAGACAAAATGACTTTTTCACTGGAGAAAATATTATGGATAGGGGACTCATATTTTAGCTGGAAGCAACAGTTTAAAGTTATAAACCACTTAATGATGATTTTTTTATTATTACAAACACGCAGCTTTTGCAACATCAAGACGTTAACTGATGGACTGGAGTGGTGTGGATTACTTGTGGATTATTGTGATGTTTTTATCAGCTGTTTGGACTCTCATTCTGACGGCACCCATTCACTGCAGAGGATCCATTGGTGAGCAAGTGATGTAATGCTACATTTCTCCAAATCTGTTCTGATGAAGAAACAAACTTATCTACATATTGGATGGCCTGAGGGTGAGTAAATGTTAAGCAAACTATAATTTTGGGATTAAATCTATCTGTCTGTCTAACACTTTCCATTGCAAAAAAAAATGTTTTATAGTAAAAAGGTTGTTTTGATTTTTAAAATGTACTTCACACACTAAGCATGGTTCTTTTAAGAACTGTTGACTGAAAGGTTCTTAAGGGAACCCAAAACGGTTCTTCTACTGCATTGCCGCAAACCCCCCTTTTGGAACCTTTATTTATAAGAGTGTGTATGCTGGGCACAGACTATGATTTTTTTGGCTTTACACTTTGATTCCATCCAGTCAAACATGTTTGATATTTTAAGCTAATTTTAGATCACATTTTGTTTTCATTCATCACGCTTCCCCTTGCAATGATGCACATGTTTCTGTGTGTTTGCTTTTAGAACAACTCAGTCATTTATAGTGTATTATGCTGAGTTTTCTCGGTAACAATTTACAAAGTTAGCATGATGTCTAGTGTTTTAAAGCCGTGCAGTGTATTCAGGCCTTAAGATACAACAACAACAACAACAACAAAACAAATCTGTCTTCTCTTGCAGACACAAATAAACATGCTGGAATTGCACTTGACGGTAACAATTAGAGAAACATCTGGATCACATGAAGATGGAAAACACAACAACAGTCGTGTCATGACTTACTCCTCTGCAGTTTGCTCCGTCTTGATTCATTTGGTGGTATCTTGGCGTACCCATCAGCACTGTGGGCAAATGGCATGCATTAGGTACACTTGTTTTCAAGCTCATCCTCCATCCATGTTGTGAACTTATCAGTCTCATATGCCAGCAATGTCTCAAAACCAAGGTGGTGCACAAGTCATCTTTTCTTACGTAAAGTCAGAATTTTTCACAAACAACTCTAGGGAACTTCCCTCCATTCCAATCATATTTGATGGTGACACCCGCCCCCCGCCCCCACCCAAGTAATGCAGCTGTCAAAAGCCATTAACTGATCCCCTGACTGATCCCCTCTCATCACAAATGACCCCAGATGTGCTGCCTGATGATGACACATAAAACAACGAGTCATGTGGTATAACTCAAAAAGATTAGAATTAGGCATGATTATTGCTAAGTAAACAAATAAGCAACACAAACAAAAATAGCAAGAGTGCTTAAGTTCAGGCAACAGTTCAGTACTTTACAGTAGAAAAACAAAACAAAAAAAAACATTGGTGATAACTGAATAAACAAACCAATGACATGGACACAAATAATTGGAATTCCCCTTACAAAAACTCACCATGCAACCATTCCAGCAAAAATATCATATTATGACAGTAATTTTTTTGCAATTATGAGCAGTGTTGGGGAAATTTACTTTTAAAAGTAATGCATTACAATATTGCGTTACTCCATAAAAAAGTAGCCAATTACGTTACTTAGTTACTTTTTATGGAAAGTAATGCGTTACGTTACTTTTGCGTTACTTTTTAAATCTAGACAGGGCTTGCTTGCTTGTTTTTAAAATAAAAAAGTTTTATTTTTGGCAAATATAAAAGCCTTTTACACCAAAAGTAAAATGAATAAGCCTCAGGCTGAAGGGAAAGTACATTTACGGCCGTACAGTAGAATGCAGAAGAAGAAATTTCAACACACTTCAGCAATAAACAAAGACACACAAATGTTTGTCTAGAGTAATTTGTGCTTATTGATCATCGAAGGTCAGAAGCAAATAGACTGGGATTAAATGCATAAAGGATATTTGTGTTGTTCAAGATTTAATTATTGCAGGTTTGCGTCATATTATGAGTTGCATTATTTTTATTCATTTTGAGGAATACTGACTCTGTGTGTTTTTTGTGTGTGTGAGTGAGATGAATTAATGCATATTCATATTTATTTTAGAACTACAGTAACGTCTTCTGGTTTCTCTCGACATGGGGACAGGAGAGCTGTCAGTCAATAAATCGAAAAAAAAAAAAGTAACTTGCGTTACTTATTTGAAAAAGTAACTCAGATATTCTCTTGTAAATGAAATAGTAATGCGTTACTTTACTCGCTACTTGAAAACAGTAATCTGATTACGTAACTCGCGTTACTTGTAATGCGTTACCCCAACTTACTACAAGACTTCTGAACCACAAAACCAGTCTTAAGTCGCTTTTTAGCAATAGCCAAAAAACATTGTATGGGTTTTTGAGGAATACTGAATCTGTGTTTTTTGTGAGTGTGAGTGAGATGAATTAATGCATATTCATATTTATTTTAGAACTACAGTAACGTCTTCTGATTTCTCTCAACATGGGGACAGGAGAGCTGCCAATCAATAAATCGAAAAAAAATACTTATTTGAAAAAGTAACTCAGATATTCTCTTGTAAATGAAAAAGTAATGCGTTACTTTACTCGCTACTTGAAAAAAGTAATCTGATTACGTAACTCGCGTTACTTGTAATGCGTTACCCCAACTTACTACAAGACTTTGATAAACAATCCTTTGCATTATAACAAAGAACTATACTATTTGAACAATTATGGCTGCATTGTCTGATCATTTGTCGATTTTATTTACATAGTTGATGATGTTTGTTTAGTAAAGTTTTGTCATGTGATAGCAGCATATGTTTACTCCTTTCCTAAAAATGACAAGCTAGTTAATACATGATATTTAACAATGTACAAAATGTAAATAAAGATAAACATTTAGATAGAACTTACGAAATTATAGCTGTATTTAATATACAATACATTTAAATAAGTGTTATATTATAGGCTATACATAGCTGGTATAATGATGGCAGACATGTTCAAGTTTTGCCAAACATTTACTCAAAATATCTGTTTATATTTTATATATGTGTGGAAACCTCCTATAGGCCTATGTACTGTCCACCAGAGGATTGTTGTGTTTATTTATTTGTTTTGTTTTTAATGATATTTGACCATTTATTTTTCGGATTGTGTTTTTTTTTTAAATGTGTTTTAATGTTGTTATTTGCTATCGCTGTGTAATGATTCGAAGAGAGAGTTTTGGAAGTTTCGCTTCTCCAGAGTGTTTCGACAGAAACGAAAGTGAAACTAAAGTATCTGCTGCTTTATAAACCGAGAAGGAACTACATACATAAATACACGATTTGATTGTTAGCTCAGACACATCGAAATAACGATGGGCTACATCTGAATCATGTTAAAGCGTAAAAAAATGTAAAGAGAAACAATGTTTATACATTTAAATGTCAAATATTTATGTATCTATTATTTTATAAATATATATATTAGGCAATAGCAAACGTAAACAGCTTGCATGAGAGTCAAATGCATGATACTGTACTGTCGTACTTACTATGTTGGCTGATTCTGAGGGTTTGAAGTACTAGGCGAGTTATTCTCACAGTCATATTCATTCGTTTGCTCGCTGTCCGTCATATTGCTGCTTTGATTGACTGGATTTCCTCTATATCCTCCGGAATCATGATTTAGATGTGTAGATCGATCCATGCTATAGTATATTCTGTCGCGTGACTCCTGAGCTTCACACGCAGCAGAACAGCTGATCACTGGCAGCGAGTTGGTAATGGCATTAATGGCAAGTCTCTCTCTCTGTGTGGGATTCCCCGCTAAACACCAGTACTCATATGCAACATAGTGCGTGAAAGCTTTTTGAATACATGATAAATAAATATAATGCTTGGCAGCTACAGCTTGTTTTGGAAGTTTAGGGCACATGAAACTGGGGTCTGAGAAACGCGTTGCTCTGTTTTGGAATCGCGAGACCCCGCGGTAGCGCGAAGTTTGTCCCTCTGGTGGTTCCGTAGCTGTTTCTGTCATCAGCAGCCGCAGTATGGCGGGCTCCAGGGGTGTGTGGTGGACGGTGTGGGGGCTTCATGAAACATCGGGCAGAATGAGACAGATATTGACAGACGCCTTGTGAGTAAATGTCGCGCTGGAGAGTCCGGAGCATTTACACTGTTTTATTTTGAACTGGCTCATCCAGTATTGACCTTGCTGCTCACATCTGAAACTCGAGCAAGAGAATATTATTGCCACCTAACGTTACTGTAAATTGATGCATTAACAAACATTTCCCAGTGATGATTGACTATGTGTTGTGACATGGGAAATGATTATGAAGGGCTTATTAATCATTGTGACGCTTACAGTTCATTCTCACAGTTTTTTTCCAGTTTTTATACATTAGCCATTGATACTATATATATATATATATACCCTCAGATTGCGTCTATGATAATTCACACTGCGTGATTGTCACTCGCGTGAATGAGCACCGATTTGCCTCCGATGTCGGGCATTTGTCGGCGATTTCGCAAAACCTGTCGGCGAGTGAAAAATCGGGCTAAAATCGTGCAGTGTGAACTCGGCATTACCGGTGTCTTCAGAAAGCAAGCTAGGGCTGGGAATCGATTTCTCGATTTCCTACGAAGGCTGCACACATTTAAATTCACGAAAATAAACTGAAAGAAAACGAGTCGGTAGTAGGGGTGTGCGATATATATTGTCTGCGATAATATCGTAATTGTTGTTTTAACGATGTGCGATTTGACATTATCGAGTATTTTGCAAAAAACATTCAAAACATCCCTACAGAGCGCACGCATACATTACGTGAAGTCTAGACTAGTGCGTGTGTGCATTTAGTGTGTTTTCTTTCACTGCATGATTCAGTCTATTAAAATGCATTTAGAATGATCACAAATTCAAGACATGATGGCAGCAAATTTCTATATTTATACCACTTCATATAGTTATTCAATTTCACACGAAGAGTGCCGTTTTTCTCCAAAAATCACCATGATTACAAATGTGACATTGAATTCAATAAACAATACGTTAATTAAGATATTTACGTTTTAGACACCATATTGCTTGTTTTTGCTCTTATTTCGCCAACAAAAATCATTCCGAATACAGCCACAGTGATGTTTTGTGTCTCTGAGCAACATGACGGTGTTTCGTTCCTGAATGAATCAACCATTTAAATGATTCGGTTCAATCGCAATGACTCACTTATTAACAGTGATTTGCTGCCACCTGCTGGCGGTTTTAATTTCAAATTTCTGCTTTTTCTTTCTTTTATTTTTTTTATTTTTTTCATGTTTTAAATCATTTCAGATATCAGTATTCAACATTTTATGTTTAATATATCAAAACATTATTTATGCATTTGTAATTGCAGGTTAAATGCATTCATGTCTTGCATTAAACAAAATACATGTGTGTAAATACATCTAAATGCCACTTCAGATGCAGCTTCTGTGTTGATTTAATTTGCTTGGTAACAGCCCAAATGTCTTATTATTCTAATTCCCTGATTAAATGTAAGAATTTGACTCAAAAGATAATGGACACTTTTAGAAAAAATGGCTTTATAAAGGTAAAAATGCCCATAAAATGCAAATATCAGTTTAAACTTATTGAAAAAGATAAATTTCTATCAGTATGAACTGACCACCACACAGAATATGAAGAATATTAAAAACATTAGAAGTCAGCTGTCTTCGGCAGTCCTTAAGGTACCAGCACAATAACACACTCAGCAAAATATTGTCACATTATCGTTATCGATAAAATCCCAGAACATATCGAGATATTATTTTTTGTCAATATCGCACACCCCTAGCGTCATGTGCTCTTTGGCAAGTGCGCATCTTTAGTGTAATACGTTTGATGCAGAAAGTAATTAAAGGCTATAGAGGAAAGGATATTAAGCTCAGGCACATGGTCGCTCATGTTGAGTACTCTAAATTCTTTAACATTAGAACAAGCCAAGAACAAGGTTAAGAACAAATTTGTGAATTAGTGAATTAGGAAGACATTCTTCATGAGAAGTGCACATATGAAATAATCTACAAAATTATTAGTGAATGAGCCCCAGGCACTTTTTTTCAGTGTGTTTGAACAAATCAGTTTAGTAAATGATTCAATGACACACTCAAAAACACTCATCAGTTATTTCAGTCCTAAATTAATTGGTGTGCTTGAACTGGGGCTGTCAGCTGCTTACAATGTTTAATCTAATTAATTACACAATAATCACACATCAAATGTGGCTCAATAATTACCCACAAAAGATAATTTAAAGCCATTATTGTGTAACATGAGAAAAGCATGAAATAGATATGACAAAATATATACATTTTTTTCATTTTCTTTTTTTCCTGGGGGCGGGGGTGAACTAACCCTTTAAGTAGTTTTTTTTATTAATATGTAAATATGAAATAATTTTTTAATGAAATGATACTCTAAATAAGATACTGCCAGTAGGTGGCAGTAAATGTCTTAATGAGTCATTCATTCATTCATTTGATTTGTTCAAATGGCTGATTCATTTAGGAATGAAGTAAATGGTTCTCTTTATGAATGAGCCGTTGAATCATTGGTTCACCCCATTCATTCAAAACGCTGATTCATGCAGAAATTGTGTGTTGTTTAGAGATACACAACGGTTCTGCTGTGCCTTTAATAGGTCATATTTGCCTTGGCAAATTGAGCAAAAACAGAAAATATTGTGTCTAAAATGTAATACGACCCAGATAACACACGTACGTCTGCAAGATGTCTGTTAAAGACCGCTTAATCTGGAAAGCATCTGCTATGTACAAACATCTGATAGACGTCTTTAAGATGTCAGTTTTACATACATTCTAAATCATAAACCTCTTAAAGACGTTTTCTAAACGTCTATTAGACATCTGATCGGAAACGTCCTATAGACATATTGCAGATGAGCAATCACTCTAAAAATATGTCTTGCAGATGGAAATGCAGACGTCAAATAGACGTCTCCGTGATGTACGTGACGTGTGCTATCAGGGAATATTAAGTTGTTATTTAATGAACTGCTGTATAAAATCAGTATCACATTTGAAACAACACTGGTATGATATTGCACTCTTTGCTTGTGTGGCATTGCTTAACTATGCCATACCATATAAATATTAAACAAAATCTCATACAGGGTAGTTTTCCTCCAATCTCTTGAATTTTAGAGGCATATAACTGCATTCTATAGGCTACTAGGGATGGGCGATATGGGCTTTAAAATATATCACGATAATTTCTGATATTTATTGCGATAACGATATCAATGACGATAATTTAGGGAATCCTGTTTCTTTAGAAAAGTATTATCTTTCCTATTTTTACCCAAAATAGGGTGTTGTGAACATTACTGAGTACACACGTAATGTTAAACGACTGTTTAATTCATACTGGAAGCAGGTGGGCGCCCTTGCGCAGAAACTCCACATATGCATAGTAGAAGTAATGCTTCAGGAAAAAGTATCCAGTGAACGCTGTAGCTGAATAAAACGCAGATAAAGAAATTTTAACTGAGGAAACCTGAAGACAATAAACATGCGGTTGCACAAAATTTATGGTATCTGTGTTCTTCAAGCGATCTTGGGTATTTTTTATAAGGATAAAGTACATTTATAATGTAATGCTAATCGACATAGCCTTTATCACTGTATATAATGCTATAAAATAGTGTGATTTCGGCCTTATTCTGTGATACGAAACCACGTCCGATCACAAAAATAAGTTAATTCAAATACTCGACTATGTTATGACGTTAATATGGAGAAAAAGCATGTCAATAAATTAAAATATCTTTGTTGGACAACAGGTTTGTAAACGACTCATACACATGTAAAACTGTGTCGCACACGTGCTACTGTAGTACATTTACTCAAGGCTCAGACCGATTTTTGTCGCACTGTACAGCCCTATCCAAACCTGCTCCAGATTGTAGAAGGAGCTGCTCAATTTCACGTCCGCCTTCCTTCAAGTCACTCCACACAGTCGTACACAGAAATATGTCAACAACTAGACTTTATCGTTATTATCGTGGGAAGATGAATTCTTATCGTGTGGAGAATTTTTACTGATATATCGCAAACGATAATATATCGCCCATCCCTATAGGCTACATCACAGTTGTTTCCAGCATCATGTTCACCACCAATCATCTGCATAGGCAAAGATTGTCTTACTATTGGGAGCTGTGAGTGTCTGTATTACTTACCATTGGAAAAAGCGTAACGGCTAAATTGGATCACGTGAGGCACCTCAGCCAATCATACAATGACCTCTGGTCTCCTGATCAATCTGCACAGCGCCACTTGAAACCGAACACACCTCATGAAATGTAAGATGACGTACGTGGGGCGGATGTGCTAATTGTGTTAAAAATTTTAACGTGTTATTTTATTCCATAACTAATTATTTAGATTAATGCATTAATAAAATGACAGCCCTAGCTTGAATGAATCAGTTGAGGGAATGATTCAAATACTCACTCATAAAGACAATCACTTGTTTTGATCCTGAATGAATAAATGAGTGGGTGAATGAATCAGTGACAACTCCCTACCACTCATACACAGACTGACAGTCTGTCTAGAAAGTGCAAACACAATGTGATATCAACGGCGAAAAATCCCAGTGCTGTTGCACTAGATATCAACACTCTTGGAACGCCGTGTTGGCGAAGTGTTCGTGTTTGTGTTCTGGCTCAGAGTACGTTTCTAGGCAGGATGTTTGTAAGCTAAAATTTCACATGTTGCGGTTCACAGTGGGATAGAGTAGCCATTGTATAATGTAATGAAAGTTTTTTCCTCCTTTGTCTTCTTAAAATATTTAGCTAAACTTTCCGTATGTTAAAGCTGCCCACAGATATTTATGATGTGATTCTAAAGGAAGCACTCAAGATGATGGCGATGTTGAAGAGGGTGATGGTTAAGCCACTCTTACTGTGAGTGTTTGTTCAAGCCCCCAGATGAAGCTGAGTCTGGTTAATGAGGTCAACGTGGCCTCTAGCATTAAAGGAATCAAAGCGACTTTAAACGGCCGCATGTGGCCAAATAATTTAAGTGACTTTGTCATCGGCCCGTTTACATTTGATTCTTTTCTGGCAGGTGTCTCTCCTGTCCTCCCTACTGCTGCGTGGTAGTTAATCATTGTTAGTCGCCAAGTCTTCCACCCATAGCTGTGTGAGGTCAGGATGGAATAGCACTTGTGGTCGCTTTGAGGAAGAGGGCTAATTCCCATTTCAGTACATCGAGGGGGCAGTGCTCCTGCCAAAAGCTGAGGCGGTGTGTGGTCTGCTCAGCTCAGAGGCAGGGCTTTGGGTTACAGTGGAGGGAGCCTCAAGTGCTATTTTGCTGAAAAGCAAAATAACGTTTTCCTCTAACAATATACTTCTCAGAGTTTGATGAAATGAAAATCCAAAAATGTTCCCATAATAAATTATTTTAACAATTTTCTGTGTTTTTCACCTAAAGTTTGGTTGGGTTAAACGAGCCACTCCAACAGCCTTTCCCAGCTGCTTTATTGAATGCTGGATGTTCGAAGGCATTATATGTTCATTTAATTGAGTGCTGACTTGCAGTGTGTTGCTTCTCAGTCGTACCACAACCACTAGCAGTTCACAGCACCCTGACCAAATAAATACCAAGGGAAGTTGAAAGGCGACCTCACCTTTAACACATATTGAATAAGACTAAAATGTGGTTTTGACCTTGGTTTCACCCTTAAACCAACTTTGTTAATCCTGGAAATTAACTCTGTAAATGGTTTGCTATCAAGTGGCACACTTTTCAGCCTTTTTTCCCCTTTATTACATTTGCTTTTAGGTCGATATGCATTCCATTTATGGAGGCCTTTGAGTCAGGTTATTACGGAAGCTACTAAGAAGTTACCCACTGCGGTAAGTGTCAGAAACAAACAAACCATTTTTAACATACACCCTGAAAAAAAAAAAAAACAAGGTACAAAAGCTAAAAGGTACATCTTTGTAGCTTATTTACCAATAAATGGTTTATATAGGTTCCTTAATTGTACATATTAGTACTTTATCCCCCGGTTTTACAGACCAGGCTTAAGCCTCGTCCCAGACCAAAATGTCTGAGCTATTTTAACTCTAAGAAACTTGCACTTAACATATTTTATATCAGTGCCATTGTTTTGTCTCAAGATGCACACCAGTAATGTTTTTTAAAAGGAGCGTTTATAAAAGATACTTAAAAGTCCTAATTGAACCATGGTCTAAACCTGGCTTAGTCTAAGCTCTGACTGTGAAACCAGGCCTATAAGTACATATTAGTACCTAAAGTGTACTACATAAGACTGTACATAAGCACCGGAGTCTTTAGTTTAGGAGAAATATTTAAGCATGGTGTGTGATGTTGTTGAGATCTTGTTTGAAACTTTAGAGGAGACAAATGTGAGACCACCAGTGTCTCTAAGGAGAAAGATCTAAGCACAGTGTGTGATGTTTTTGAGATCTCTTCTAAAGCTTTAAAAGAAACAAATGTGAGAGATCCAGGGTCTGTTGTTAAGGAGAAAAATATGAGCAAGTGTGTGAAGATGATGAGATCTCTTCTAAAACTTTAAAAGAGACCCTTGTAAGAATGTTAGAGTGTTTGTCTCAGGAGACAAGTGTGAGAAGGAGACTCAAGCAAAAGTCTCCATGTGATGTTAAATGTGATGAAACATCTGAAATGCTGTTGATCGAAAAATGAGAGCTATATGAGAATCACAATTAAGTCTCCTGAGCTTAGGAAGAGCAAACTCTGAGCTATTTTTTTTCCTCTTGGATTGCTCTCTAACACCCTATGAATCAGTAATGCCATTGAGAAAAGTTCCAGCATAACTTTAGTTTTTTTAACAGATTCTGTTTCAGAAAGCAATGATTTGTGGTAATGAAATTTGGATTTTTCCATGTTCATTTCCACATCTCGAGGCGCTTGTTTGTGTGCGGTGTTGGCATGTTAAACCTCTTGCTGTAGGGCGATGGACTGATTCATCACATCTTACTGGCCATTGCTGTAGTTCACGCTGTGCTTCTGGTTTTTGATGGAGTTTGTACTGCTGATTTGTCCAGGTTCTTCTTAATCTCCAGGGTTGTGTGGTCGAGGCTGGTTCCCAGTGCTTTGAATCAACCTGTCCACCTGTGTGCACTCTTAAACTTCTCAAATCTCAGCGGCTTTCTCCTAAACTGGGATTGCTACGGAGCACACTTGTAATAGATCATTATTAGAGTTATTAATCCAGTGATTTCATCATTCTGTGAGTCACATAATGGATGGGTGTGATTAAGTGTCATGTTGTGGGCTGAGATTGGACTGAACGTTCTGGCCTCTCTCACACTCTGAACATACACATGTTTTTACTCAATCATGAACTCTGACCAAAGTGGATGAAGGAGCCACAGACCGATGTTATTCTGTTATGAAATTTTAATCAAAGGTATAGTGCAGCAAAAAAAACAATGATAATTCTGTTTTTTTTAGTAGCCCTCACGCGACCTGTGTGCTGTTGTGGAACACAAAAGTTTAAATTTCTGAAGCATTGTTACGAATCTCTTGCCTATACAACCACAGTTTATAGTCATCTGGACTGTCCAAAATGGACCAAAAAAACCATCATAAAAGCATCCTAAAATGATCGTAAAAGAAGTCCATACAGATTGTACGCCATGTTCCATGTTACAGACTTTTTTGGTCAGTTCCTCATACGAACCTATTTTATGCCTTAAGAAGACATGTAATCAAGTCATATTGGCTAATGAGATATTTTTTGAGGCCCTGTTGTTGTATTGGAAATAGCTTATTCAGTGCTTCAGCTGTGTGAAGCACTGAAAGTCTCCATAAAAAAACAACAGCATATGGGTTTGAAATGACAACGAGCATATAATGTATGAAAGAGTTAAAATAAAGAATTACAATTTTTGGGTAAACTGTTTCTTTAAATTGTAGGTGTGTGCTGAAAATATTGAATGTGTAAACATGTAGAGCCTGAATATGGAAAATCCCAAAGTGGAAAATCTTTGAAGCAATTGGAAACACAGCACTCGTGAGGCCTGTACTATAAAAAATTAAATAAAATAGCAAAAAATCTGGTTCTTCAGAAAGTCTCCATAAAAAAACAACAGCATATGGGTTTGAAATGACAACGAGCATATAATGTATGAAAGAGTTAAAATAAAGAATTACAATTTTTGGGTAAACTGTTTCTTTAAATTGTAGGTGTGTGCTGAAAATATTGAATGTGTAAACATGTAGAGCCTGAATATGGAAAATCCCAAAGTGGAAAATCTTTGAAGCAATTGGAAACACAGCACTCGTGAGGCCTGTACTATAAAAAATTAAATAAAATAGCAAAAAATCTGCAAAAATTGTTTGCTAAATTTCCACAAAACTCTATATGAAACTTGGCATTCATGACCTTCTCAAATCTCAGTCATGGGTCCTTTGACTTATGGTGCATTCACACCATGTTGTAATTACAGTAATTACTAAGTTACAGTCTGGGATGTTTGCACTCTGATCTTTTCATGTCTTCAGACTTGGTATTGTGTGCTTCTGTGGCAACACTATTGCCAGCAAAATGAATCTGTGAAATTTGAGTAATGAATAGACAAAAATATAGCAAATAATGCAAATATTAATAATAATAATAATTCAGTTTACAAATTGGAATAGCAAGTTCAATGAGGACACTTTTTACATGTCAGACAGTCTCGTAATTATGGTAATTCCAGCATGAACACGTTTAGTTTGGGAATTTGGATAAAATCCCTAAAGTCTCTATTTTCACATAATGAGGTGTAAGTGCTGTTCTTGAGTCTTTTATCTGATCCAAAGCAACATGGTTGCCATCAATATTCAGAGTATACAGGTTATTGTGCACATCAGTTATCATCTTATTAAAGGAATATTATGGGTTCAATACAGTACTAATCAGCATTTAAGGCATAATGTTGATTACTATGGAAATTAATTTGGACTTTAAAAAAAAAAAAAAAAAAAACAGGGTTCCTGCAGGTCTTAAAAAGCCTTAGGGTTAGTTCACCCAAAAATGAAAATTAGGCTGCGTTTTACTCACCCCCGAGGCATCCTAGGTGTATATGACTTTCTTCTTTCAGACGAATCCAGTCGGAGTTATATTAAAAATGTTCTTTGATCTTTCAAGTTGTTTAATGCCACTCAGCGGGTGTTGCATGCATCAGTCCAAAAGAAGTTAAATAAAAAACGACCATCCATAAAAAAAAGTGTCTCATATGGCTTCTGGGGGTGAACAAAGGTCTCCTGTAGCGAACTGATGCATTTTTGTAAGAAAAATATCCATATTCAAAATGCAATAATGACTTTAATCTAGCTTGCGCCAACAGTTGTACACGGAAGCAGTTCCGGGCAGAATGACGTATGAGGTCGGCGTTGCGCATGCGCCGGTGAGTCTCGTGAAAACCAACGTTTGTTTACAGGATCAAAGGAAGCAAAGTTTCCTTACTTTAGCAAAGGAAAACCAGTCTCCTCTTGGCTTATATCGAAATCCTCCAACATTCTGTTTTGATTTGATCTCTCTTCTGCGTTTCTGCGTTCGTCACTTCTGAGCAGCGCATGTGCAACGCCGACCGTCATACGTCATCCACCCGGAACTGCTTCTGTTTACAACAGTGAGCGCAAGATACTTGTTTTTATGGATGGGCGATTTTGGACTGAAGCAATGCAACACCCGCTGAGTGGCATTAAACAGCTTGAAAGATCAATTTTTAATATAACTCCGACTGGATTCGTCTGAAAGAAGAAAGTCATATACACCTAGGATGTCTCGGGGGTGAGTAAAACGCTGCCTAATTTTCATTTTTGGGTGAACTAACCCTTTAAAGTCTTAATTTAGTCCTCAGTATTTTTGTCATTTCTAATCACATATCAAAGCATCCTTTTAAAGTTTAAAACTAACCTAGACATTTACATTTAGAGAACGTATTGATGCATTGTGTCCCCCAACAAAAAAAATTCAAACCAAAAAATGTTAGAAATGTGAAGCTTACATTTTTATTACAGCACTTAGAGGAGTTGTTCAGTTAAACCCTCTTTATAATTTGAGCTGTATAGTTCAAGCTGAAATCGTTTTCAGCTGCAGTCACTTTTCTGGGTAAATGAACTTCTGATTACAGATTACCAGCGTAATGTCTGTGCTTTACAGATACTTACATCATTTCGCATTGTGTGTATCATGACCAGTGTTGGGGAAAGTTACTTTTACAATATTGCATTACTCCCTAAAAAGTAACTAATTGCATTACTTAGTAACTTTTTATGGAAAGTAATACGTTACTTTAGTAGTTACTTGAAAACAGTAATCTGATTATGTAACTCGAGTTACTTGCAGTGTGTTACTGTTACCCAAACACTGATCATGACAACCCAATTGAAACTTTACAAGTGATTCTATAATCCTAGTTTCATGGACATAAGATTGAAGTCTTGTGACACTTTGAGAAGAGTGTGTATGTTAAGGTTTACTGCCTGACCCTGTGTATTTCCATTCAGTTTAAAACTGAGAAAGGCGCCATTTGTTTTCCTGGCAACATATATGTAGTTGATAGAGCTTAACTTTGAATTTGGATCATTGTTTTCAACATTTTCTCTTCTTTCCTAGTCATTTTCTGCATATTACAAAGGTGGATTTGAGCAGAAGATGACCAGACGGGAAGCCAGCTTTATTCTTGGGATCAGGTAATTGTGGGCTAAACAAAGCCCTAAATCACTGCAATTCCTCTTACTGAATTCTCTCATTATGAGTTGTCATGGAAGAAAACAAAGGTGTTTTACAGAATATACACACACTGCATCACTGCGCTTCCCAGAAGAGCATGCGGTTAAGTCTGGGGGCAATTCTTTTGGTTTGAAGTCGGTCGTCATCTCCTGTCGTCAGGGCTTTGATCCTTTCATCTAATGGGAAAAAGTCTCAGCTGTGTCTCTAACTTTGTAATCTGCTTTTTGGTGGACCACCCTCCTCCTCCTAGGAGGCTATATTTCTCTAAAAATTCTGAGTGCTTGCGTCATTGCCGTGTGCCTCAATTATTTGTGTTGTCAATCAAACTGGACTAATTTTTTCATAAAACTGAACCAGACTGTAACCAATATTTCTTGGATGTGATCAGAAAAACAAAAGCTTTCAGTGGATATCTTTAAAACTTTTAAATAATAAGTTAATCATTTTTAAATAAAAAAATTGTTTTATTATTTTAAATATCTCGTTAAATATTTAATTATTTATTTTTAAAATTGGAAAATAAATTGACGTTTAAAAAAAAGTTTAATGTTTTAAAATGTAGTTAAAGCAATCAAATTGTAAATTAATAAAACATTTAAAGATGTATATTTGCATAAAAAAGCATTTGCCATTTGCTTTGTCCATTTGCTGTTTTTGTTGTTTTGTCAAATGCTTTTCTTTATCCATGTGTCAAAAGAGTTAAAAAATGTCCTTAAGCATATGCGAATACCTTTTTTTTTATTTTTTTTAGTTCTGTTGCCTGTTTTGCCCACTAAATTGGGGATTTTCAGGGGATGTACAGATTGAGTATTTCCAGTTGATGTGTGCAGTGATGGAGACAGACCACACATGTTGATATCAGACTAGTGCAAAAAATCAGTCTGGAGGCCTGTAATTAGATTCATACAGCAGTTCACACTGTGTCCACTAGATGGTGGTGTGCTTCTTTTCTAAATGTTCTGTTTTCTTGTTTAGTGCAGTTCCGACCAGCACTAAGGCAAAGGTACTGGAAGGCCACAGAAGGATCATGGTACTAAATCATCCAGATAAAGGTCAGTAGTGAAGGCTGTCATGTTGGATGGCTGTGTGTTGATCAATAATTCTCTGACTCAGCTCTATACATGCAGCTGTAGCTCAGTGTATTTTCTGAGCTGAGACGGGTGTTGATTACATTATTGATTTGGACAGAATTTGTCATTTGTCATAACACACTCTTTAAAGAGGGCTCACATCCCTGAAATGCTGACTTGCTGTAATATAAGCCATAAATGAGAACCACACAAAGCAGGGCATTATCAAGTGAACCATCACTTCAACCAGTACTGTAGATTCAAGATGCTTGATGTAAGAATTAAAATAAGGTCAAATATTCTGTGAATAAGGCATGTTTTCAATGATGTCCTTCACTAAAGGAAGAATGATCTTGCATTATTTGCATATTCGCCAATAATAACAATATATAGTAATAAACAGCAACATTTACCTACAAATATTTGAAAACATTTAAAAATGCCATGCAGAATGTATTAATCATTACATTTTAATCAGTTCAAATCCATTTATAAATGTATTGAGCTAATAGTTTTAAATTATTCATGGTAATAAATTACTCTTACCAACAACACTAATATAATTTTTGCAAATGGAGTTTAAATCAGAGACTATTAATGCATCTTAATGCAAGTCATGAGATGAGAAAGTAAAACTAACATAATGTTTAAATAAAAAAAATACACTTTTTTTATTTACTGTTGATTTGATCCAAAGTGACTTAAAATGAGGAATACAAGAAGTGGTCAGTGCAATATTTGTATACTACTGTTCAAATGTTGGGGGTCTGTTCTTTTTTTAAAATACTTTTAATCAGAAAAGGCACATTCAATTTAATCATAAGTGGCCAAATAACTCTTACACCAAAAAAAGGTATTTCAAATGAATGCTGTTCGTTTGAACTTTATATTCATCAGATAATACTTTAAAAAGTATGATGGTATCCAAAAACATATTAAGCAGCACATCTTATTTTAATAAAAATAAATGTTTCTTGAGCAACAATTCAGCATACTATAATAATTTCTGAAGGATTGTGACACTGAAGTAATGATGCTGAAAATTCAGCTTTGCATCACAGGAATAAATTACATTTTAAAATATATTCGAATAGAAAACAGTTATTTTAAATTGCAATAATATTTCACAATATTACTGTTTTTACTGCATTTTTTGATCAAATAAATGCAGAGCCTAAGAGACTTCTTTCCAAAAATAAAAATTATAATTCTTACCAACCTGGAGATAATGCACCACGTACAAATGTATTTAGATCTGATAAGGATTTGTTCACTCTGATCTGTACAACACAGGTTATAAATCACTGTCTAGCGACTTGCTTTTTTTGCCGTGGTCTTTTTAAGTGCAGGGTTTCACCTAAAGAACACTGTGAGCAGGAGTCTTATTTTTCCTTGGACACTGTACTCGTCCTGTTTTTCTGTTCAAGGTTAATGGCCTCACCTTGCCTTTCTCTGGTTTACTCTCTTTCAGGTGCGTTTCTCACAGCGCTCAGAGGTGCTGTTTATAGATATGTGTGTGTGTGTGTGTGTGTGTGTGTGTCAGGCCTTGTTTGCTCCTCTAGACCACTAATACTCTCAGTGAAATAAGCAATGGTCTCTGTGATTCTATCTGTAGTGGAGCGATAAGGCCTGTGACTGCAGGGAGGACGTCCTGCAGAGAGTGTGCCAGATTTGTCCCATCCTCCGGCTCTGCTGAGAAATCCTTTATTACAGTGCCATTAATAATGGTGTGCAAGCGCCCATCCCATTTGATACACTAGTGGAAGGGCTGATGTATGAAAGACCCCATGAAATGGCTTGATGAATGCAGTTTGCTTTCCTTTTGCTCTCCTGATGTATTTCCTATTGAAACAGATTGGGATAGGATATACTGAAAGACTCATCCTTTTTTATATGGTCAGTAGGCTTAAGGTGCGGTCACATTTACCATTGTTTGGCGAATTTTCACAGACGAAATCCTGTCATTTCAGTAGAAATCCTGACAATTGGGAATTTCACATGAAGGCAAAAGATTTCTCCATGCATATTTCGAAACCGGTTCAGGGGTGAGTCTTTCAAAAAGCTGCTATGTTTAAAAGTGACTTCTGTGTCAGCTGTGCTGCACACAACACTGGCATGCCATGATTATTGATTAAACGTCTGATTATGGTTATCCCATCTTAATTATTTGCAATAAGTGTGCAGTTTAAAGTTCACATTTTGCCACCCAAATGAGAAAATTCAGAAAATCTAAATGCATGATACTGTGTCTCTTTTTCTAGTACACAAAGATAGTCAAAAGATCTTCCTTCGTACGAAATGAGGGTTTGTGGGTTTAATAACACTGCATAATATTATGTGATATGATATGATATATGATATTATATTATGATTTTACTTTATTTTATCCGGTTCAAATTTTTGATTTTGTTAATATTTTTTCTGTACAAAGACGAACATAAATAGTGATGAAAGCCAAAATATTAAATGTCACAGATGTATATTTACTGAATAATCCACTACTATTTTATGACAGTTCATCCTCAGCACAAAATTTATGATCACGACAGGCACATATATCGCTACACAGTTGACAATAGACGATGGACCTTTTTTGCCCCATGACATTTAGCTGAAATATTGCTAATGCTTGATATCTCTTACCCAACACTCCTATAAGGAAACGAAATGGCAAAGCAGGCATTAAATATCGCAGGTGTTTGATTGTCAGCAAAGACATCTCTTAGCAACCGAACTGTGGAGGGTGAAGGATGCTGTGCGACACTAGCATCTGTTCTGTAGGAGTGCCGTTATCAACAGAGAGGATTGTTTATGATTTAATGTAGCAGTTTATTTACTGTACATCTAACTGAGCGCCAACATGTGAGTGTAACAATGCAGGTGTTCAGTAACGACCGTGAACCTGCATCTCAAATTTTCTTCACGAGTTTCCAAGTTGAATGTTCAAGTGGTGTCAAGTTGTTCTGTTTTAGTGCATTCTGGTTTTCTGAGTTACACGTCCATCTGCAGAGCCGCAGAGTGAATGTGTTATACTCTTCTTCCTTGGATTTGTTGTTTCTGATTCATAAGATGTTGTCAGTTAAAGCCTTTGAATGATTGGTTTCTGAGGAACTCAATGGTTGTGTCCAAAATCACAAACTCTCTAAATAGAGAGTAAATACTTCACGACTGTTAAAAACAGTATGTAGTATATGGGTAGTATGAATGTAATCTGTACTATATACATCATCTTGTCACTGTCACGTGACCCTACCAGTGTCAGTTAGTTTTGTTTCACAAATCCACTCCCGTGGCCTCATGGGATAGTAAAGTGTCCATCAGATGCGCACTTCACAATCTCGCCAGAAATATTAAAGTCATCCTGGTAACTTTCACCTACTGTTTTACAGAGGTGTAAAGTATTGGAGTAAATGTAATTAGTTACTGTTCTTGAGTATATTTTTGGATACTTTGTAGTTGTATTGAGTATCAAAGATATTAGCAACTTTTACTCTCTACTTCACTACATTTTTGAATGAGTATCTGTACTCTTTACTCCACTACATTTGAAATGAGTGTTGCAGTTACGCATTACATTTTGCATGGACCTAGCTTTTTCTGCACCAGTTTATTTCTGCTACAAAAGACGTGATACTGCCTATTAAAGGTCACTGAAAGTACTGCATCTTGTGCGTTTTGCCCTTACTCACCCAAACTTTTCAACAAGGCTACTTTATGTGAATGCGAGTTCCTTAGCAAGTATTTGTGAATCACAGGTGTTTTATATATGAGATGAGGACATGACTGCAGCCGGCAATGAGGTCCAAACCAGCACAGCCAGTGCAAGAAGGCTTCGGCTTTTTAATTTTACTTTATTACATTATTTATTATACATTATTTAATTTATCCATTACACTGAAGATACCTTTTTAAAGGATATTGTTTTTATGTAATTTTGAGGTGTTCAGTTTTATTTTGGTTTTAGAAAATATATGTAATTGCTCTCCTCACAAATCAACTCTTTCTTGTTTTTGTTTCATGCTCTCTGTGCCTTGCCCTGGACTTTTATGTGACTTCCTGTCTCCTGTGGTGTTAGTAGTCAGTTTGTAGTCTGTTTGTTCATTGGTTCCCCTTGATTAGTCTCCCCAGGTGTGTCTTGTTATCTTGTTAAGCTTGTTAGCCCCCTGTGTGTATATAGCCCTAGTTTTTCTTTAGTTCCTTGTGAGTTGTCGAGTGTAATGGTTGTCTGTTTGCCAGTCATTCTGTTATTTGTTCCCTTTGGTTTTTGGCTTATTGTTTGTTCTAGTTTTTCCATTAAGTACCTGCACATAGATCCTTGCCTCTCCCTTTTTCCCCAGCTTCTCCACAACATTACAGTTTTTCACTGGCATGTGTCTTTGACTTGTGCATTTTTTGAGCCTATATTTAGTATAAGTAAAATAGATAGATATTTTATCATGTAAAATCAGATACTCTAAGACTTTTACTCAAGTTGTTTTGGAATTGGTGACTTGTAACGTGTAGTGGAGTAATTTTCACTGTAAGGTATCTGTACTTTTACTCAAGTATGGTTTTTAGGTACTCTTTACACCTCTGCTGTTTTATGAATACTGTGAATGTGGAAATACTACTCTTTTCACATACTGTTGTTTGCCTACTACAGTGCTACTCATTGCGCGGCTCGTCAAGCTTTAATGTGTGGCTCGCATGGCAGATGGCAGTATATAATGCGATGATATGATCAATATAGATATTTAATAAAAACATTAAAAACAGACAACGTCAGAAGCGTCTTACCTGGGCTAAGGAGAAGAAGAACTGGACTGTTGCCCAGTGGTCCAAAGTCCTCTTTTCAGATGAGAGCAAGTTTTGTATTTCATTTGGAAACCAAGGTCCTAGAGTCTGGAGGAAGGGTGGAGAAGCTCATAGCCCAAGTTGCTTGAAGTCCAGTGTTAAGTTTCCACAGTCTGTGATGATTTGGGGTGCAATGTCATCCGCTGGTGTT